TTCGAGCCCATTCGCAATGCATTGAGCGCTTTGCAAAATACATTCGCTTTTCTTGTCATCAGGCTTTCAATATGCAATATCGTGTACGATCCCCAGCCACTACTGGCTTGAGGTGTGCCTACACTGTAAACTGAGGACCTTTGTCAAGAGTTCATTGTACCCGATCCTGCAGGCATAATAGGTTGATGTGTCCTGTCACCTCATCTATTCGCGTTTTTTTTTTTTCCTTGGCAAAGTGTAAACAGTTCTTTTCCACTGCATCTCTCCAAGTTGCTTTGCCATGCTGAAATAGTGCCATGCCATTATCCTTGTGACGGTCTCTGTCGTATGAAGCAGTGCATATAATCTGGATGTGTTGTCGATAGATTCGAACCTGTCTCCAGCTTGCTATTTATTCTGTGTATCTTGCAAAGCCTTCTAGACATTTTCTCACCAGGTTTGCCAACCCTTGTGACAAAGCATATGTGAGGGTCTGTGTTTGCGCTCTTTCTTGCACAATGCACTCAACAATGTATAACACCCACAAGATGGCAGGAATTTCAGGAACATATAAGCCCAATGTGCTCAGATTCAGTGTCAGTAAGGCGATAATTGGGGCTAGTGGGTTTATGTCGAAGTCTTGATTATGCAATATTCAACCAACTAGTCCCATTTATCGCCTTACTGACATCTGAACACGTTTTCATGCAATTTTAGACTTGCCAAGCTAGCTTAAATGACCTGTTACCATCCATTTCCCATACTTTCTTTTTATGTTGAAAATGTGCTGGATTGTTCAGTGCATCGACATGGTCGAGAGCACTATATGATCCCACGTGAGGTTGGCCACTTTTTTTGTGTAACTGAAATTTCTTTATCGAAGTGGACATGTGTACCAGAGGGATACATTGAGAATAGCTCGCCTGTTTAGTCAACAGCCTGAGCCAACCTAGTTCATCATTTTCTTTGTCGGCAAGCCCACGTGCATGGTTCGTGAGACCATACAATACGTATGTAGCACTGATCTTGCACTCTCACATAATTGACCAAGTCTTGTGAGGAAAAAAATGCAGGGTGTCTACCAACCTGGAAAACCTGCAAAACTTGGAAATGTCAGGGAATTTGGACCCTTCTGGTTAAAGTCATGGAAAAGTCAGATAATTTCGGAAAAACCTAGCCAAGCCATGGAAACTCACAGCAGTTTCGTGTGACTGTCACAAAAATAAGCATTACCTTGATCGAAGCTTAAAAAGTCTCTCAACTGCAAATACAGGGAGCTGTTAGAAAAGGAATGAAAAAAAAAAAGACAGTGCATAAATGTTGTTTCTTAGTGTAAACGCGAAGGGATATACTGACCTATAGAACACAAAGTTTACTGGCATTTTGGCACCCGATATGGGATGGAGCCTTGTTCACAATAAAAGCCGTAGATAAAGTACCTAATACGCAACCTAAGCAGTGAGAGTACATTGTCAGAAGCGTCCCACCACTCCTGTTCAGAGTATATACAGTTGTCTGCATCTGGATTCCTGGTGCAGGCATTATTCAAGCTTCTTTTAAATGCGGAGCATTTTATAGTCGCACCTACTTGCAAATTCGCCCGCAGGGGTGTCTACGTAAGTAGACGTTTCGTGCGTAGCCGCACCACGGACCTGAGCTAAGGGGGAGTTTCGACTTCCTCCCACGCCTAGCCGTGCGTGGCTTTACCGTGTCCGGGAAAAAGGGAATCCTGGGGGCTGAGCCGAGGCCGGGTGATTGTACCTTTAAGGCCCCCCGGCAAAGGCAACACACCCCTTTGGCCCCGGCTTCATGTAGACGGCACCCCTGGGCTGACCCACCCAGGGGAAATGGGCAGTCGCCTTTTTCTATCTCTCTCCCCTATGTCTTCGTCTTTATCTCTCACTTTTTAATCTTTCCTGTCTACTTCTCTCTTCTGTTTAGTTCCAATTTTTCCTGGTGGCAAGGGTTAACCTTGTGTAGTTATTCAACCTTGAGTAGTTATATCTGGTTATAGTGGCAATGTATGGCTGGCGTCTGCAGCCTTATGCTAATAAGCTCTTCATCGTCCCCTGGTTGGACTCTATGGTGGGTGGTTGCAATCGCTGCCGAAAAAAAAGTACGCTACTATGGGAACACCTGCATTTCCCCGTATCCTAGATCATCTTCCGCTTAAGAGGGGACGCACCGATGAATTATCAGTTTTCAGCCAACCAAGACAATGCTTTCCAAAATTTTATGTTGTGCACAGCGAAAATCCAACAAAATAAGCCAGAGCCATATCTCCATTTCTTGTTGCCTAAATCTCTGACTGAGGTTTTTAGGCCCATGATACAGGGTTACAAAGATGGCTAGCGGAGACCTTCTCCTTGAGCTGCCTGAAAAACACCACTATGAAAAACTTGGCAGTCTCGTAGCATTTGGTAATATCCCAGTATCCATTTCACCTCATCGATCAATGAACACCTCACCCGGAGTTGTTTCAGAGGCAGACCTTCTTGAAATTTCTGAACAGGAACTGCTTGAAGGGTTGAAAGAGCAAAATGTCACGGACGTGAAACGAATTGTCATCAGACGCGACAACAAAGAAATACCTACCAAACATTTAATACTCACTTTCGCATTCAGCACATTGCCTTCATCTACAGACACAGGCTACATCAAACTCGCTGTCCGTCACTACATTCCCAATCCAAGACTGTGTTATAAATGTCAACGATTTTGTCATGGCTTGCAGAACTGCTGTGGTCAGGAATTTCGTACAAGGTTTGGTAGCCATGGCCACCTATCTGATAACTGTGTTACTACGCCTCACTGCGTGAATTGTGACAGGGAACATGCCGCGTATTCTCGTTCGTGTCCCAACTGGAAGAAAGAAGAAGAAATAATCACTCTTAAAGTCAATGAAATTATATCTTTCAAGGAAGCCCGGAAGAGGGTCTCTCCTTTCTACAACACATCTCATGCTGATGCGGCGCGTCAGGGGGCAGCGTCGCAGCAGCTATCGCCACCTACACAGTCCGCACACAGCGAGCTGTCTCTTGGGGCAGCTGCCTCCGGGGTGGCAGTAGTTCAGTCTGCTGCACCCAAACAGCATCAAAGTCTGATTATTCCAGGGCTGCCGGCTAAAAGCAAGCTATTGATGGCAGCCTGTGCTACGCAAAGCTAAAGTGCAGGGCTGTCCAAAATCCCTGCGGGGGCTGCAGTCCAGACTGCTTTTGCCATTCCAGCCCCTGCTAGTGCTGGAAACAGCCGGCAGAGTCTGGACTCTAAGAAATCGCCAGCAGCCCCGCGCCGAAAAGCGCTAAAGTCTCGTCTTCAGAGGCGAGACTTTCACAGACATTGTCTCGCTCAGCGCGTGTCCGGCATCTCAGAAGAGGCAATGCACACTTCAGTTATCTGGACAGTGCATCGAGTGTCTAAGAAGCGGCGAGACCTTGCCGACCGCTCTAAAAAGGACAAGTTGTGTGTTACGGGGCCTGGAAAGAGTCCTAAGTGAACATCTTTTTTTTGCACACACAAAACACTTGTTTGTTTTCAATATCAGTACTAAAATTATGCAATGGAACGTCGGGGGCCTTTTTTCAGGAACCTTGATGACATCCAAGAACTTTTTCCCAAACACACACCAAAAGTGCTGTGTGCACAGGAAACGTACTTAAAACCAACACACCCTAACTTTCTCCGACAATATGTCATCTTCCGCAAAGACCGCGAAGATGTTCTTGCATCCTCTGGCAGCATTGCTATCATAATAGATAAAACCGCACCTTGTGAGGCTCTGCAGCTGCAAACGCCCTTGAAGGCAGTGGCTGTCCAAGCCGTCCTATTAAACAAGCTCATACCCATCTGTTCACTTTACATTCCACCCCACTACCAGCTAAACAAGCATGAATTTCAGTCATTTGTTGATGAGTTGCCAGAACCATACCTTGTCCTTGGCGATTTCAATGCACACAGCGGCCTGTGGGAAGATCCTCGCTCTGGTGCCCGAGGCCGTATGATTGAGCAGTTCCTGATGTTTGTGCCTGCTCAATAAGAAGGAGCTAACGTTTTTTAGCCTTGTTAACAAAAGTTATTCATCAATAGATCAGCATCGTTTTACCCACCTTTTTGCCTGATTTTAAGTGGAACAATATAGAAGACCCCTACGGTAGCGACCACTTCCTTATTCACTTAAGTACAATAGAAAATGAATCTCTCCCGTTTGCTCCCAAGTGGAAAATCGGAGCAGCAGATTGGGAGCAGTTCTTACGAGCATCTCGTGGGATGAGATGTCATTTTTAGAAATTAATGCTGCTATTCAGTTTTTTACCGCTTTTATTATTGACGCTGCTTCGAAATGTATTCCTCAGCCAAGTGGTATTGCTGCCAAATGTCCTGTGCCACGTTGGATTGAAGATTGCCAGAAAGCTCGAAAAAAAAAAAAAAAGTGTGGGGACTACTGCGCGACTCCCCCATAAGTGCGCGCGCCCGCAGCTCTCTATGGGAGAGGGAGTGCTGCTGACAATGCCGCATGTGACCTAGCCCGACTAAGAAGTGCATTCTCATTTAATTATTATTTTGTATGCAAAAAATTATACATCTCTGACAGCAAATTTTTCCATTGTAGATGTACCCATGTAATCGTTTAAGCTTGTTTTGTGAGATACCACTGTATAAGTAGTATAGAAGGCATTATGACAACATCTTTTATAGAACACCCTCCTCATTCATTTTCATGTCTAGCGAAACTCCTTTTGGAAAAGGTGTTTTACAGCACAATCCTGTCTGAGCATGCCTAAAGGCATGAATGGTGGCATGCAAAAGCTTCTTGAGTGCAGTATTCAAATATACTTACTGCATATTTGAATTTTGTGGATGTTGCAGTCTCTGACATGACATATAAGTCTATTCACTACAGTGTTATAAAGTGCTGTCTACTCTTTCTTCTGACCCGAAATGTGTTACCAGTCCGAACTAATGTTACGAGGCTTTTGAGTGTCAAGATTTGTTGACTCTTGTTCCTTTCTGTCTGTATGCAGCAAGCTATCCAAAAAAAGGAGGGTGAATCTCGAAACACCAGCAGCAGTGGCAGCAGCGGTGGCAACAGGAGTGTTAGCAGCAGTGGCAGCAGCAAGCTATTGCGGGAAACTTATCGTGACCAGGGCTCCACTGAGCTATCAACATCGCCGCTTATCCAGCGGAACCTACTCGACATCTCCGACTTCGATGAGGCAAGTGGTGGCATTCACGTGGTAGCATTTGTTCATAAAGATAACTTAATGAATACACAAATATTTTGTTTTGGCTATACTGTAGCTAACATACTACTTTTTGACTGGATGTCTAACCACGCTACTGGCATCCTATGATTAGCCTCTTTGTACAGTGATTACAGTGCTCTGCTGCGGATGATAAAGTTCCAGGCTTGATTCTGGCTGTGGGGGTCACATTTTGATGAAGGTGTTCATGCAGTGTATCGTTTCACTTTACAGTGCCTATGATGTTCATCTGTGTCTCGTAACCAAGTTACCTTATCTCAGAAGGCAGTTCAGACTGTACATGTATTTTTTTTGGGGGTTGCTTTATCTGTGTGAATACATGCTTGTGATTGCTAGATGTCCTAGACTTTTCTTGGATTTGGTTGCATTTTTCTTTGAGCGGGATGTCAGGAAATATGCCTTTTGTTTCCTGGCAGGTGGAAGCGGCCTTTTCCTCGATGATGGAAGATGGCTCTTCATCCCAGGAGGTTCTGTCCACACCTTTTTCGGTTCCAGAGGATAATCACGTCGACAATGACTATGACCCGAAAGATTTTGTTGTGCACCGGTAAGTCCATTGGACAGTATGACACTATATTCATAAATCGTGTCAAAATGAACAATTCGAGGACAAGCATTCTCTGGCCATGAACCGAATTTTTGAAAGCCTACTGAAACCACTACTTATCATTGTCTGCTGTGGATTAAATGTTGATTAGTGAAGCTTACTTTTATAGTAAGCTTTCCAGAAGAAAAGCTGTGTTTTTCAGTGAAAGATTATTAAAGAAACCCAAACAGGGTGGTAATGACATGGTGTGCATTGATAAAGATTTGCCTTTCACGTGCATTCCATATCTTCATGTCTTCTCCCACCGTATGAAAAAGATGGGAAACAGAGTCATTGCTAACGTGGTTTTTTCGTCCAGGAAAAAGTTGGGCCGAGTCTGCACAGCGGTGGATAGGAAAATTGAAAGCAAAGAAACTGGTGTGATTGTGAGGTCAGATACCGAGAAACGTTTGTCGAATGTAGAAGGGGTGCGGTGTATCTCATCCCCTTGTCATGTGCTAAGTGCTATATTGGGCAAACTGGAAGGTGTTTAAATAACAGACTAATGGATCACAGGGCATCGCTGAAGGCCCACTCGTCGTCAAATCTGTGCCTACATTGCAGGGATTGCAAGTGTTATCTATTACTTTGCGAAACAAGAGTGTTGTCCCGGCACAGGGATAGGGCAACGAGAGAAGTTGCTGAGGCTTTTTATATACACAAGTATGGTGACACATGTGTTGTGAGGCCTTCGGTGACTTTGCACCAACTAGAGATAGATTATTTCACTGCCAACCTCTAATCTTTCATGTCATATTTTTTTTGCTAGTTATATATGTGTATCATTCAATAAACTTTTAGTTGCTTGTGTGTGTGCCTTCTCTGTTTATTGTCGCTTTTTCACGCAGTTTTGTAGTTATAAATTATGAACTCGCCCAGCGTTCACTACTCCTAAAGTTGTTGAGATGTGGTTGGTTGTGGCATGTACTGCACTTTGTCGTGTCACACTTTGTGAGGTAGCTTCTGCTGATCAATCGCCCTGTCGCGGTGGTCTAGTGGCTAATGTACTCAGCTGCTGACCGGCAGGTCGTGGGATTGAATTTTGACTGCGGGAGCTGCATTTTCGATGAAGATGAAATTGCTGTAGGCCCGTGTGCTCAGATATGGGTGCACGTTAAACAACCTCAGGTGGTCGAAATTTCCGAAGTCCTCAACTACAGCATCTCCTATAATCATACGATGGTTTTGGGACGTTAAACGCCACATATCAATCAATTCTGTTGACCAACTATACGGTTCTGTAACTTTAGCTATGGTGTATATCACCCTCAATAATTTCTGGAAGATTCATATAAAGATTTAAAGAGCAAATATGTCGGGCTTAGCCGCGTCTATAAAGTCGCTTGTGCATGTTCATTCATCACTTGCATGGTTTGTCTGTTTCTGGCCCACAAAATGTTATTTTTTACTCTGTACTAGATCCTGCACGAAGTGGACAAGCTTTGGAGGTAATATTTACACTTTGGAACACTGAAAAACACATTTGGCTAAGCTCTGGCAAATATTGAAATGAATATTACAATATTTTAATTCACTTCACTTCTAATTTAAATGATTGGAAATATTGAAGTATTGGAAATGAAAAAATAGGTCTATAATCGGCCGCTTGTAACTCTCCTGTAAAGGTGGTTTCACTGCAGTGAAGGGCTGCTGGGCCATTATTACACCTATCCATGATTTTCGAAGAAGCAGTGTGCAAAAGGCCGCAAAACATGCACATATAAAAAGGTGCAAACTCAACACCGTGGTATCATTCTCTAAATAAGCACACCGGCACCATGGTATATAGCAACATATCGTATTGCAACTTTTTTCAGAACCACATGATTATTTGTGCTTTTTTTTTGTTTTTTGTTTTCTGTCTTTTTGTGCCCTTCATCTTATTCACTGCTGTCAGTGTGCATGTGTGTGTTCTCTTACATAAACCGGGTCTTTCCCCAATAAATCATTAGTTGCAAAACAGCGCTCGTTTTTGCATCTTAATGTGTGTGTGTTTTGTGTCCTTTTGTGCAGTACTTCTTCGAAAATCATAGCTCACCAGCCAGCTCATCAGTACATATTAGCCATCCAAGTAAAATTCGCACCCCATATTAACCTCATATCGCGATATCATTTTTTATGTCTAAAAGCTTGTTACTATTCAAAGTTATTCCCACTTCCTTTAAACCAAAAAGAATGGCATTTGCCCATGCTGTTAGAAACAGTGGACATATGGTGGAGGAGAGGAAGAGAAAGACGAGAGATGCACGTGACAGGTGAAATGCTTCCTGGATCTATGCCGCGATAAACGGACACGAGACGCTCTGCTCTTCATCTCCAGGCGTATCAGTCCTTTGAAGCCAGTTTTCTACGAAAGAAGTCTTCGGATTTTACATTGGTGCCGAAACCTGACCTGATTTCAAGGAGGACCATGGAACGCCTGCGAAACACGAGAGAAGCTAGACGGCGACACAGCTCTAAGACCATCAATGCCGTTGATGAGCTTCTAGCCTCCAATCAATTCGACTTGGCGGGGCTCCGCAGCATTCGTCAGGGCTTGGAGAAAAGCACCGACGAGCTCGCCAAGGCTAACGAAGCACTGCACGCCTTCATGACGGTGACAAGCTGCTGGCGGATGTGTACTCAGTGCTAGAGTACGAGAACCGAACTCCAAGGAGCGTTGGCCTTCTTAAACATCACATCCAGGAGCTGGCTGTCCGAACATCAAGGCCAGCCAGATACAACGGTAAGTTGCCAACCGACTCTTCTCTGCCGCGTCAAGCAGCTCCGTCAGATATTTTCGCCGGCACAGGAGCAAGGCTTCCTAAGCTAGACCTAATGAGATTCGATGGGTCCCCCCACGAAACGGCTACCAATTTGGGACCTCTTTCGACACACCGTACACGAGAACCCGTGTCTCAATAACGTTGATCGGTTTTACTACCTCCGATCTCTTCTCGACAGCCCTGCAGCAAAGGCTGTTGTAGGCATACTCGCAACCGACAAAAGTTATGAGGACTTTGTTTCTATACCTAAGGAGCTGTTCGGAGACGTGCGCATGTTCGAGCAGAGGCATCTCGAAAATCTTCGCACTCTACGTCCCGTCACTATGTCGGCGAATGCTAGTGTCCTGAGAAGCCTTTACGACTTCGTTCAAGCCAACATAAGAGAGCTCAGAGGCCTCCGCGTCTCGGAATCCTGCTATTCTGCCATGTTGTGCGAGGTATTAATTAAAGCGATTCCACAAAACATAATGGCAGAATATTACCGACGACGGCGACTTGAAGCGTCATGTGCGAAGGACCCGCCGAGCTCGGAAAAAGAACTTCGACAGTTTCTCAAGTACCTACGCATCGAGGTCGAGTGCAGAGAACTCGCCAGCTACCAGCAACGAATAGCTTCTACCAGGGATCAGCAGACTTCCGGCAGCCGTGAGAATCAGCCGACAGCATCAGCTGCAGTCCTCTATAACAGTGCTGTTACAAAGGAGAAGGCTTGCCTTTTCTGCCAGAAATCACACTCAACGCTGGACTGCAACGCATCACTTCCTGGCTCAGAAAAAAAGCACCTTTTGTCGACGACTGACTGCTGCTTCAGATGTACCACAAAAGGACATCGATTAAAAGACTGTTGACGAAAGGTGAGCTGCTCACATTGTCATGGAAGACACGCTTCTTCAATGTGCTCTAGACAGGCTAGCAAAGCTGTTCAAATAATGACGCCACCACAACTTGCTACAAGCAGTACCTCCATGTATGCCGTGTCAGATAGCAATAGGAGCCTTGATACAATACTATTGCAAACATTCAGAAAATGGATAAATGGTGCAAAGGGTTCCTGCTATATAAGAGGCATTCTGTATAACGGTAGCCAGTGCTCTTTTATCAAAGAAGACGTTTCCAGAAAATTGAACCTAAAGGTGCTAGGAGAAATCGACATTACCATCGACGTGTTTGGAACCAAAGATGTTGGTCGATATATATGTCGAAGACTAGCTTTAGTAACTTTGCAAAGCCAGTATGATGATGTTCAGCATGTCATTGAAGCCATTGAAATAGGACACATCTGTGAAGCCATCGTTGAGGTGCCCCAAAGTCATGAATTCATCAAAGGGTTTCAGAATCGTGTTCAAGGAGTGGCTGATTCACTTTGCTTTTCCCACATTGCTCAAGAACAAGGCATCAGCCTATTGATTGGCTCAGACCAATTGTGGAAAGTCCTTGGAAGAGACTTCAGTTGGCATGACGAGCACAAAGGTCTCCTTTCCATTGAAACAGCACTGGGTTGGACATTCCAAGGACCATTAAGCGATGAAACCATCCATCCACGCACAAATGCAAATGTTTGTGTACTTCGGACGAATTGCTGTATGAACGATGAACAGATGAAGGAACTTGTAGGGTCTAATCTGAGAAAGTTTTGGCAGCTAGAAAGGTTAGAGATCACTAATGCAGATGTACCATCTTCTCACAATGAAACGGTTCGCAATGCTTTCAATGGAACTGTTGAGTTGCATGATCAAAGATGCAAAGTGTACACGCATTTGAAGGTTCTACCAACAGACCTGCACGATTATCGTACGAAAGCGTTCATACGGCTATACGATTGGAAGGAAAACGCAGCGGGCATAGTTTCCCAAGACAGGCCAATAATGTCGCTTGCAGACAGGGAGAATCGGTGGTAAAGACCAGTTTGGTGGGCAAAAGATGAAGAATGGTTCAAACTCTTGACCGCAGATCCGAGGGATGTTGAAGACGATGTGAAAGAAAATGCGGAAGTAGACACCGTTACCCGAAAACAACGAATCCGCCTTGAATCGGCAGTCCTCCAGGTTGGGCGAGATCTACCCATCTACCCAAGGCATCGACAATTCGGGATTTGCACCCATTTTTTTCGGAAGAGGATGGATTGCTGAGAATTCAAACATGGCTTCAGAATGTCGAGTACCACGAGGGCATCAAACACTCGATTCTGCCTCCAGGTGACCACATCGCCACTGAACTCATCGCCACCGGCGCAGGAGTTGCAACAACCATCGCGGAACTCCGAGAGCGCTTCTGGGTGACGAAGGCGAAGCAGTGTGTGAAAAGAGTTATCAGGCGGTGTACCTGGTGCACAGGATTAAGGGTAAAGCCTGCGACAGCTCCTATGGCAGAGCTGCCTGCTGATTGAGTGAATGTGTCCAAACCGTTTGGCGTTACTGGTGTAGATTTTATTGGACCAGTGTACTCTAAAAGTGAGCCAACACAGAAATCATACATCGTGCTATTCACTTGCACGGTAAGACGAGCTATTCATCTAGAGCTTGTTTTACGCTCCACAGCAGACAGTTTCTTGGAAGCCTTTCACGTTTCACTGCATGTCGTGGATTCCCTTCAGTGATTTACTCTGACAATGCTTTGTGCTTTAAACGTGCTTCTCGCGAGCTTCGTGCTGTGCATGAGACTATTAGGGAAAGTGAAGTTGGCGATTATCTGTATGGTCATAGCATCACGTGGAAATTATCTGCTGACCTTGCTCCTTGATAGGGCGGATTTTGTGAGTGTACAGTGAGGTCAGTGAAAGACAACTTAAGAAAAGTTCTAGGAAGGTCTCTTCTAGATTATGGGCAAATGAGCACGATCCTAGCAGAAATTGAAGGGACCATAAATAGCAGACCGCTGACATACTTGTATTCTGCGCTAGAAGAACAGAACTCTTAACACCTGCCCATTTCTTACATAGCAAGCGATTGACGCCACTCCCCGACTCGCAAACTGCAGACGTGGTGCCAGGCTCCCATACGGAGCTTTTTAAAACTTGAATACAGCGACAAAAGCTGCAGAAAGACTTCTGAATCGCTGGTATAAGGAATATTTAATACTCCTTAGAAGCGCTCATAATAGGCCAGTGGCGGACATTACTAGTATTGCGGAAGGCAATATAGTCATAGTGCGCAATGATGCTCTGCCCAAGTTGTGTTGGAAACTCGCACGTCTTCTGAAGAACATTATGGGACGCGACGCCATTGTTCGTGCATGTCGCCTAAAGCTAGCAGACGGTAAAATTGTAACGCAGCCTATTCAACATTTGTGTTTCATAGAAATGCGCCTGCAGCAATTCGTGGGCGGGGAATGTTAAAAACAGTGGACATAGAGTGGAGGAGAGGAAGAGAAAGATGAGAGATGCGCGTGGCAGGTGAGGTGCTTCTTGGATCTACGCCTCAATAAATGGACATTGAGACGCTCTGCTCTTCATCTCCAGGCGTATTAGTCCTTTGAAGCCGGTGTGCTACGAAAGAAGTCTTCGGATTTTACACATGACTTGTCTCAATTTTTTTCAACTATGTAATACTTTCGTAATGAACGCACTTGTTTTCCCCGAAAGATCTAAGCTAAGTTGGGGGTGATTCTATTATGCTGGATCAATTTTATGAGAACCTTTTTGGGGCTAGCACGAAATCCGGTAACACCCAAGAAAAAAAAAATGGGATAGCTTAACCTTTCGCAATTAACGCATGCCTATACTGTTTGAAAATAGTTTCTTTATTGCACTTCACTCATCTTCGGTGGTGATGGCGCTATCTTCTGCAAGCTGTTCGCGAACATTCCATAAAAGCGTTTTGTACCTTTCTTTTTTTCGCAATCTTTTGTTTGACCGTGACACTAGCTTGGCTGTGACCTCAAAGGTGTTACAACCGGCCTCGTTACTTTTTCGCCAAAGAAGGCGGCGTAGGGCTACCGGCCTATGTCCATCATTATTGTACTTCCTAGCTTGAAAGTGAGACGCCGTGCCACCCGACACCGTAAGCTGTTCTACGAACCGACCACAATAGTTTCCGCAGTCGCAGCGTGTTCCTCGAAGAGGCAGCGGCGTCTGTCTCTACGACAGCTCGCCCCACTAATGGATCGAGCACTTCGCCCCGGACCCTTCTGAACTTTGTTGTGGTGGCCCCTTTTGATACAGCCTGTCGACTGAGCTTGGAACCCCTCACTCAGTGGCACTCCCACGATGAAGAAGAGCCTCGTTGGTGCCATGTTGCAGTGCAGTAACCACACCCCAATAGGGGACGTTTATTTGGGCGGGTGTGGGTGTCATCCTCGTAAGTTGTGCCTGATATGTGATTGGACAGTGCAATCGGCACCCATTCCCCGATCTGGGGAAAACGTACCCTTTCTTATGAACCACCGAGCTCATTCGAGAGCTCACCATGTTCAGAATGTAAATAAGCCTTCTACTAAGTTCATCGTTCTCCTGCCTCTTCATCTTCATCCCGGGTCTCCGGTGGCTTCAAAAGCTAGTCGCAACAAGGGGCGCCCGAAGTATCGGCCGCCCATGCTACGACGCGCTTGGCAAACTCGCATAATGATGACATTGGCATTGCTGCTGCAAGTCACCGCCACTGCATCAAGCTACCACAGAGACATCAAAACAGTCGATAACAAGTTTAACGACAAAATACAGCCACTGCATGAGCCGCTACCTCGCCTGCTGTGTGAGATATGACTGCAAAAAAAAAGGTGGCTTGTGTCTTGCGTTCCTTGAAGTATGCACGGAAAACAAGCCTGAAGAGCAAATTGCAACCAAAGGGGGAGAATAAAGGGTGCTACTATGTTACAGAAATCGTCGCCTTCTTTTCTGGGCAACAAGCGATTTTTTTCTTGTTTTGCAGAAACCAGCAACATACCTGTGACACAACGATGACAGATGGCGACGGCTAATCCTATCGCCATCACTCGAAAATTCACTCTGAAATTGTGTGCTCGGGCCCTAAAGTTTTATATTTGCAGAAAGCGACCCTTGGTTAGTGCGGGCAGTTTCGTGCGCTTTCGCTCACTGTGTGCTGCTATTTTTCTACACTTGCGACGTTTGTGAATGCCCCTGTGGTGCATAGATAATAAAAAAACAGAGGATGTTGCATGCACTGGTAGAAAGCAAAACAAAGAACTGCAGGCGAAGGGGGGGAGCGAGTGAACTGATGGGCTTGGGTATAAGAAGAAATTGAAAACGTCATCGGTCAAGGAGGCACCGCGTGCCAGATATCAGTACTGCAGCGGATAAATACAAAAGAAAAAAATCCAAATTTTGGCGACTTAGGTTCGCAGAGTGTTTATTATGCCAGTGTGTTCATTATGTGAGTGAATATGGTATTGCGCAGGTTAGTAGGGTAGTGTAATATGTGACATACACTATTCTGATTATATTCAAGTTTATTCAACCAAGTCGCACTTTTTCACAATTAACTTCGAACTTAGCATTTCCTGTTCACATACAAGTCAACTTTTGGCCGCTGAGTAAGTGTGGTGAAAAATGCACAAACTACAGTAAGGCTTAGTGATGCTCATTTAAAACGACTCTCAGCTAGTATGAAGAAACTTTACATTAACTGGGAAGGTGAGGCACGAATGATGTAGTACAAATTGCACAGTTGCAGCCTCAATTCATTTGTTCACAAAAATGCATTAAACGTTGTGTCTGGCAGCCTTGGACAAGCCACCACAATCTTTTGTGAACAGAAGCTGCGTTCACGCACGTAGTGAAAAAAGAAAAAAAAAAACTTCGCATGCAACGAGCATAAATGCACATATAGACTTGTTAGTGTATCTTTGGGCATTAACTTTTTTGTCAGTAAATGCTTCAACGCCTCGTGATCAGAGTTCTTGCTGCGCAGCATCGCAAAGGGCCTTGCTGTTTGTGCACTTCACAAGCCACTCTCTGCGATATTGTGTGTCACCGAGATAGAAATAAAAGCTTATATCTGGCTCTGCAGTATGTGTGGCATAGCAGAATGGATCAATGCGCCCTCAAGCTTGTAAACTGGAATGCCTTTGACAGCTGCAGAGCGCAGAATGACAATATAGGAACAGCACCCTGTACACTTTCACACACTGCATAAGTGACCTAGCCATAGTAATGCTCCTACGGTGCGGCCACCTGCAAGTCAATCTCATGGCCAGTAGCCTAATCATTAAGTTGTTCAAACATCTATCAATGCAAAGCGTTGTTTGGGATTATGTGCAGAAACACGTTCATCACAACTGAGGACTACCACTCCGAGGATTCGACACTGCCTGGCAGCAGCCCTCAGCCACTGGTGCGCGAAGCCTCAAGCGATGCGTCGGATGACGATGAAGTTGATTATCACCTGCCCTACGACGAACACGAGGAGGAGATGCAACAGCGGAACTATGACTCTCGTCACCACTATGCCTTCTATCCGGAAGAGACCGAGCTTGAGGTAATTCCCGAGGAGGATGAAGACCATGCTAGCAACTCCGACTGCTCGGACCCAATGGGTAAGCACACATCCCCTAAGTAATAAATGGTGACAATCAAGGAACTACCGAAATGAGATGGAACTGTCGCAACTTGTAATGGTTCTCCATTTAATGAATGCGATCCGTAAAATATTTTTTCGCAGTGCTGTAGCACTACAGATCATAGTTGGCTAAGAAAATTTAAAATACAGCAATGTCTCGTTATAGCAAAACTTAGATTAACGATTTTCGTTACTACGAATTTCATAATACTGAATGTTTCAGAACAGCGTATCGTATTTTATCCCTCTTACATCTCCACAGTACTACAATGTAACCAATTGCGATCTTGAAAAGTAACTTGCGGCTGGTTATATAATGCCCAGCTCTGTACCTCACCAGAATGCCCGTGTATCTTTGTATTTGCCCGCCCTATTCAATTATGCGATAGCCCTATCGCGGTCATTATTACCTGGTACTTGTTGTTCGCGTCAGGCTTTGCCCAGTTGCATTTGTTTTTGTTACAAGATGAGCTCCAGAAACAGCAGGAAAGGAATGCTACAACCGTGAAAATGTGACCTGAGTGACCTATGGGATGAAGTCACCCATGATTGCTCGTTCCTGCTTTACCAACGCCCAAACACAGTGTGAGGACGAAGCATGAACACGAGCTTAGCTGACGTCTGATAAGATCTATATACAGTAAAAGCTCGTTAATTCGAACCGCAAGGTGAGTCCGCCTCAGTTTGAATTAACGAAAGTTTGAACTAACGAAAGTGAAGAACAACAATAGTACACTGCAAGTAGTGCATAACAATTTATTTTCTGAAAAAATTCTGTGATCGCGGTCTGCTTTCTTTCCTTGAAGACGACAGCCAGCACTTTTTGCTCTAACGAGTGAATTTGGCGGAAGGCCTCTTCTCCGTCTTCTTCAAAACTTAAGAAAAGACGGGGGGAATGTAATCCGGCCATGACTCCCGCAGCAGAGGGCTGCACTGGTGCTTTGTCCTCCTCCTTATCATCGTCACTGGTAGCGACAGGTTCTGCACTTCTCACCTGACAACATATTATGTCGCCATCCATGAGTGCACCACACACCACTGCACTTGAGTCCACACCGACGTAGTCCACAAAGCAGACGTCTCCCAAAATGTCCGCCATGGGGGGTGGTGACGCTGCGTTCGGGCACTGGTGGCTCGTCAGCTTGCAGAGCTTCGGTGCTGAAGCCACAGTGGCAAAAGCAATTCGCTATCGTAAGTGCTGTCACTTGCTCCCAAGCACGCACAAGCATGTGTAGTGCACTTAGGAGCGTCACTTGGTAGTTATTGCACAAAATAATTCGTTCCAACATATGACGCCACTAAAATGATTTTGAATTTCTAATTATATCCTGGTCCATGGGCTGCAGTACCGCTGTCGTGTTTGCTGGAAGGAAGTGTTTTGGCACGGTATTTGCCGCAGGCACATGCCATCAAGTCGGAGCAGCAGAATCGCGACAGACGGAAGCTACTACCGGCGCTACTGCAACAAATGTTAGCCGAGGCCTAACACCAACACAAAGAATCGCTACAGTCGGAAGCTACTCCCAGCACCAACAACCGAGGTGTACGACGCACGCCCGAGACAGAGACTGCAAAGAAGGCTGGGCGACGCTACGACGCACCCGATTTGCTATGTGCTGGTCATGCCATCTGTCGTCTAACAGCCACAACTACGCAAGATTTTCAAATGCTTCGAGATTGGCGCTTAAAAAAAAAAAATCTTGGAGGTTACGTAGGACGAAGAGCAGGCAGCTGCCGAGAGAGAGAGAGAGATTGTGGGGGAGGGGGTGAAGAGTAAGTGGCGCTATTTTCTGCACTCTGGCTTCCATGCCAGTTTCTCCGTTTTTCTCTCCACTCTCTGTCAACGCTGCCTCATAACTTGGCTGCCGCCCTATCGATTGACTAGCCAAGCTGCCGGCGCGGTGGCGCGTAGTTCGAATTATCCGTGGCGGAACCTACTCGCGTTCAAATTAACGGGCTTTTTTATTCATAGGCTTGTATGGAGCTTGGCCGGACCATAACTTACAGTTCGAATTATCCATAAATTCGAATGATTGAAGTTCGAATTAACGAGCTTTCACTGTAGTTTGTCATGATGAAAAAATGGCTGCAAGGGTGAAGACGACGTTGAAACTGCGCGTACGAACCAAGGTGAAGAATCATTATTTAAGGCTAGTGCTTCCCTGTACTGAAGAACGATGCGCTTGTTTCAGAGTGCTTCTTTCAGCTGTCGAGTTGCCCACATCAGGATAGATCGCACTCTTTCTAAAAAAAAAATGTGCACTTGTTCCGTATTATTTAGTTCTTGTTTTTTCTTTCACGCCCATAAGAGCAAAAGTGCAATGCAGCCGCAAATGTATACGTAGCGCAGGTAGGTGACTCACGTGTTTGCATTTGCAATTTTTATGAAAATTCTAAATACTTTCAATACAACTTTTCAAAATAACGAATGATATTTATCGGTTCTTTGTGATTCGTTGTAATCAATATTTCGCTGTATTTAGAGGATCCCACTTCCGCGCCAACTGTGCCAAAGTGCGTCAAACGAGAGTTGCTGCGCCAACCTAATAAAATCGACATCAATCACGCCAAACTGCGCCAAATCGGCCATCTCAGGGGTCCGCAACCTGTGGCCCGCGGGCTGCATGCGGCTCGTGGGGCAGTTTTATGCGGCTCCCGGCACGATGTCAGAAATCATAAAATCGCTATACGCTGTGATTGCGGCAGTATTTAAATAACTATCATTAATGTTTTAATTACCGGAGACAGAGGTCGAGTCTAATGAGAGAATTCTTTACCTTCCTGTGAACAGGCCTATATAACACCTATATACTGGGTGTTAAGACGACGGCAACGACTGCGTCGCCGTTGCTACCCTTTGCAAATTGCACCTTATTTTATATCATGTAGTTCGTCCAAAACAACCTGATAATTCAGGAAAGGAAAATTAGACAACCACCCATTTGTGGTGGTCTTGGAATTGGCTGCCTTAAAATTTATATCATTGAGAAATACGGATCAGCCGTAATTGTATCATCGAGATTTTACTGTAATCAAAACATACATGACTGCTATACAGCTGAGGGTTTGATAATTAACACGTCATCATTTTCTTCTCAAAACCTCATCACAGGTTTTCATAATGTTCTTGTGTGGCACTATTGATATGTATGCTTATTAAAAATGTATTATATAGAGATTTTAGGGTCAGGCATGACTGTTGTGATGTGTTTATACCACAGATGCAGCCTGCGCAACCCACAGTGCTTTCAATGAATTGAAAAAATGCAGGCGAGCGAAGTCGAATGACCGAGCATGATTCGGGCGTGACTGACGAGCAACACAGCAGCGGCAGTGACGATGATCGAAGGCATGGCAAGCGGTCAGAGGACACTGACAGTGGACTGCATTCGCTTCCGTGGACACGAGACTGTGATTCGTCCCGTGGGAGTCCAGAGACTAGCCCCGACACTAAGGAACAACCCGCAATCAAGCTCAATACCAAGCTTGAAACCAAGCTAGAGTCGAAGCCAGAGCCGAGGCAAGCGTCGAGGCATTCGAGTGATGTTCCCCGAGCTACTGTGTCCATTCAGTGCAATGGTCCCGATTCCCTTCGCAATGTAAGTGGATTTCAAACTTCTTCAATATTTTTTCCTGAATGTATTTATGACTAACCTGTACATTATAAAGACTGAGGCACTTCTATAGAACCTCTTGCTTTTTTCAAGGATATACACTGAACAGCTTCTTGTTCTTTGATGTACTCTGATATAGGGAAAACAGAAGCCCACAGATTGTTAACAATTTTCTCCTTTGTTTATGGGAACAAACAAGCATGAGAAGTGTCTGAAAAGTGTTTATTGTTTGGTAAACCACTGTTTATATACGACAGACTACATGCGCAGTAGATGACTGTCTAGGGCACGTGTACATGACGAAGCTTCTAGTTACATCTTCCTTTTTTCGAAAAGAAATAATATACGCAAACAGTAAGATACAAAAACAATGTTAAAGATCGATTATACAAGGGCTATCACTGCTTTCTATCAGGCTAGGGATAACGTTGTGGGGCTCTACGAATGCGGTCACTTCGGCGAATCGCGTCCGCTTGTGGCAGCACCATATCAGGACCAGGCTGAGAAGTTGGCGCAGGCGAGCGAGTCACAGGGTCAGGCTGTGGTTGCAGTTCTGCGAAATACCCCCTGGTCCGCGTCAGTTGTCCACTCGGTGTGGCTAGATTGTAGGACCTTGGTGTACCTGCAGGACCGATGACCACTGCTGGGACCAGGTCTTGCGTGTGGTGTTGTATACTAATACTACAGAACTACTGAGAAGTGCTGGCTGATGCTTGACAGTTCTGTTGTAGAAAATTCATTGTTTTTCCCGTATTTCTTGAAGACGGTTGCGAATGGACTCTGGTGGCACGGTCTGAGGCTCCAGATGCGGAGGAAGGACATGCAGTCGTGTTTTGGTTTGTCGTCCCATCAATCGCTGGGCAGGTGACTTCAAGTGTTCGTCCCTGGGCATATTTCTCCACTCCAGGAGAGCACTGTAAAAACCAAACATTGCAAAAGGAGCTTTTTTTAGCAACTTTTTCGCCTCTTGCACTACCCTCACCGCCATGCCGTTACCACGGAAGTAATATGGACTTGACGTTAAGTAGATTATTCCTAGCTGTGCGAGAAAGGACCGGAAGCAAGTGCTGTTTTAAGGTATTCCAATATTGCTGCACAACTTTGTCTGAATGCCGTGAGTCGCAAAAACAAGCTTGCACACATTGTTTACAGCTTCAGCTCTGCATTGTAGTAGCTGTTGAATTTCAAAAAAGAATCAGTAGAACTCAACCAGAATTAAGTACATCTTGACATCGTGGTAGAAGATATCAAGGCCTACGACTTGCTATGGTAGGCTTGGTATCTCATGGCTCACCATTGGTAGATAGGTATTTCTGCGTTTGTACTTTTGGCAAGCTGTACATGACTTAGTTAGGACTGAAATGTCCGTCTTGATTCCGGGCCAAAACATTACCTGTCTGGCTCTCATCTTAATTTTTTCTTCCCCTCTGTGGGAGGCATGTAGCAAGCGGAGGACTTCCAGTCGCTTGGCTGCAGGAACGATGATTTTATTGCTCTTGAGTAGCAGGCCATCCTCGATCTGCAGCTCATCACGGTAGCGCCAGTAATTGCGCTGTGCATCGGGCAGTCGGTGCTTCGTTTCTGGCCATTCCGTGCAGGCGTAGGTGCGAAGTTCAGCCATGGCAGCATCTTTGTTGGTTTCGTTGCGAATGCTCTTGAGCTGTTGGTCTGACACAGGAAGAGAATAAATGATGTTGACATGAAAATGCTCTGTTTCATCCTTGAGCTGAGCGGGACTTAGGAAGTGAGAAAGCATGTTGGCTAGGAAGAGCTCCTTTTCTGGTTTATAAGTCACTTTGATTGGGAACCTTTGTAAAACAAGCCTCGTGCGTTGCAATCTCAGTCGGGACTCATACAGCGATTTTTTAAATATGTGCTCTAAATATCTGTGATCAGACTTGACGATAACTGTACTGACGATAACAACTGTAGTTGTTGCCTACTGGGCTCTACTTGGGCCATGAGGGAGACGGGGGCGGACTTTGACGAAACGGCAAGCGAAATGCATTGCCCACCTCTTCTTACACCATGTGAACGAGTGTCTGAAAAGCATTTATCGTATTTTCTGGTCCATAAGTCACACCCTCCTCAAAATGGCAGTTTTTCCGGGAAAAAATGTATATAAGTCGCACCGGTGTATAACTCGCACCTGCTTATCCGGCCAACGAGTGTCACGTCGTGAGAAAGCATTGCAAAAATGCATGCTTGAGGTGGCCGCTGCTTTGGCTAGTTTCCAGCTGTTGGCAGACTCGTGCGAGCGCCTCCCAACAAACATAAAAGCAATATTTCCAGTCAAAAATATTTTATTATTCCGATGAATCAAAACCGTCGAAGTCGTCTTCCTCCGAGTCGCTAACAAATAGTGCAGCTATTTCGGGTTGTAGCTCTGCTGGCCCGTCACTGTCATCCTCCGACTCGCTCGAATCAGACTCAACATCGGCCAGGCAGGGGATCAACCCGGACTTGCGAAAGCCCACCACAATTGTCTTGTCAGAAATGTAATGCCAGGCTTCACTCACCTATTTCGCCACCTCGCCAAACTCGGCGCGTCTCATGCGACCCGTTTAAGTGAAGCTATGCTCGCCCTCCGACATCCATGACTCACACAAATGTCGCAGAACGGCCTTGAAGGTGCGGTTGACAGATATGCCGAGCGGCTAAAGCAACTTGGTCATGCCGCCAGGAATGATTACAGGCACACAATGCTTCGAACTGATCTTTTTTTTTTTTTTTTTTTTTCCCACAACATTGGTGATATGAGCCTGCATACCGTCCATCACCAGCATTCCTGGCTTCACGTGAAAGAATCCGTCAGGTCGACGTGAAAAACAGCAGGTCAAGCCACACACCCATCATTTTCTCGGCCATCCAACCCTTCGCGTTCGCCTGAACCACCACTGTAGGGAGGAAAATATCCTTCGGCAATGTTTTCCACCTAAATATCAGCATGGGAGGCAACTTGGTGCCGTCTGTACAGCAGGTGAGCACAAAGGTGAAGTGAGACTTTTCATGGCCAGTTGTCCTCACCGTCACAGTTTTCTGGCCTTTCTCGGCGACACTTTTCCCGAGCGGAATCTCGGAAGTCAATGGCACTTCATCCATGTTGACGATGTGGCTCGCGCTGGCGTTCTTCTTCGTAGTTTCCTCCCTCACGAATAAGCTGAAGTGTTCCAGCTGCGCTTGAAAGTCATCAGGTAGCTTCTGGCTCACTGTAGTCCGGGCTCGCATGAAAAGCTGATTCCGCTGCATAAAGCGGAAACACCATGACGGACCACCCCTGAACCCCTCAGTGTTAGTCTCCGCTGCCAGAGCCTTCACCTTCAGGCACATCTGAACTGTAGACATGCCTCTTTCTTCGTCTCTTTGTTGTAGCACCCACGTTCGCAGGCTTTGGTCAAGGCTCAGCCAGCGTGCCTTCTTGCCGCGGTTGGCCTTCTTTGTAGACTTCATTGTCTGGAGGACACTGTGAGCCTTGCACCAGTCCCAGATTACTTTTTCGGCGACATCGAATTCTCTCCCTGCAGCACGATTTCCATGTTGTTCTGCAAATTCAACTGCACGCAGCTTGAACTTTGCATCGTAACTTTGCCGACTTTGCTTTCCATGTGGCGCAATGGTTAGCGAGGATGCTCCGACAATGCCGCTATGTCTACGCTACGATGTGCAATATCAGCAACCGCCACTGCTATGGTGGCCGAAAGTGACGGCAAACGAAGCGCCTCCAGTGGCTGTTGTCTGAAATGCAAACTTGCCTTCAATTATTTATAATTTTCAATACCTGTTCTTTTTTCATCCCCTCAATAATTCTTCATTTTCTGTGCGAAACTATATAAGCGCTATTATTTAAAGAGAGTGAATTTACCTCTCCTTTCATTTTGTTCCGAAATATAGTTTCCGTGCATGACAAAAGGGGGCACACGGCGAACCGCCCGACCAGAAAGAGTGTCAAAAATATCAGGCCGCCAAATCCGTGGCATCTGATCCGATTTTGACTGTATATAAGTCGCACCGTTGTATAAGTTGCAGCAACGAAAAATTCACACAAAAAAACGCGACTTATCCACCGAAAAATACGGTATTCTCTGGTAAACCACTGTTTATATAGGACCGACACACAAGCTGTGACATGCACAGTAGGTGACTGTCTAGGGTGCGTGTACATGACAAAGCTTCTAGTTACAGTTTAGAAAAACATTCATAAGTATTTTCCTAGAATATAAGAGATACTTCTGAATATTCTGTGCGATTCCTTTAATAGTAATCTGTAGACAGACTTGCCATACTCTGAAACAGCTTTAAAAAATGCTTTCCATTCTGCTGTTAGTACTGCCAATATTGCATTCACGAAAATGCCTGTACAGTTCAGGATCCTGTCGCTTTGTGGCAAGTTGTGGAAATCAGTTTCCCCGATATACAAAAGATATTGTTACGAAGGGCACTGGTTAAGCTCTACAGTTAACTAGTTAATTTGAATTTGGAGGGATCATATTTAGTCTTCATATTAAATGAATACTGAATTCTCAAAAGTTTCAAGAAAACACAATTCCATTTATATTTTTTGTATGCATGCATAAGTTCACTATTTTGCATAAGAGCAGTGTAAAAGCCCCAGTTTGCATCATTTTCGGCTTTGTTTACAATAATCGTGGCTCGCGACTCTCATGTCTCTAGCCTAAACGTGTTTTGAAACTTTACTTTGTACCGTGAAAGTTCGAATATACGTCCCCCTGTTTCACGACGACCCGCATGTTAAGAAGAATTAGTTTGGTCCAGGCAAAATTGCCATAGAAATAATGTATTAAAAGATTGGTTACACGACGTAGTATTGGCTACACGCCGCTGTACCAAAACTGTACGACGCTGTAGAAAAGATTGGCTACACAACGCTGTATCTACACCGTACAAACACCATGTGCACACAGCAATAATTATTTTGCCGGATGTACCGTTTTTATTCGCATAGTAAATGCACCCCCAGTTAGTTCACGAGAAATCAGTTTTATTTTCGCGCATAATAGGTGCACTCTTGACATGGCAGTGATTAGTATAATAATATTGTATCGTATTTTCAAAGTTGCAATTTGATGCCCTCTTACGTTAACTGAAGCAGGGGAAAAGAAACAGAAAACGCAGCAGCGCTGCGCCAGCTCTATGGCCTCACCAAGGGAGGGAGGAAGAAGAGCGGTTTGGGTGTTGCAGTAACCTTTACACCAGCGCCGGCGTTGCTCTGGCCGCTACCGGCAGCGCGCACTTTGCATGGAATGCGTGATCGCGTCCCCATAAAGTGTGCATTCAGTTACCTGTCAGAAAAAGTACCATGAACACAGTGAACTAGTATACATCATGAACTCGAGGTGGTTAAAGGTGGGAAGTAGACACAAAGTGCAAGCCGTAAGAAAGTGTGCGTGTTCCACCTCTCGTTTAGTCCTTGGAATCTCCGCTTGATGGCGGTGCTTCTGTATGCAAAATATATGATGAAAAGATGCGAGGTGGTGGTACTTGGAGTGTTGACTAGATGAATGAATGGACACACAGACATAGGCATGGGCGGACGCACGGATGGCTGCACGGACGGTTAGGCGCATGGACGGACGCAGGGGCGGATGCATGGACGGACGCAGGGATGGATGCACGGATAGATGTGCGGATGCACGAACAGATGCACGCACGGACGGGCAGCTGGACGCACAGACAGTCACACAGACGGACGCATGGACGAACGGAAGCAAGAACGAATGGACGGACAAATGCTTCACCCCACTCTCCATCATTCACCCTGTGGATGTGCTGCCATTTTTTGTGATATTCCATGTGTATTGCCCAAGTCAAAAATAAACTACTGAGGGCTCCATCAGCTGTGGCCGTAAGCGTGCTCTCTATACACTAGAACACAGTGAGTTCAGTGTTGCCGCCTCGTTTATAATGCCCATTGCGCTCTCTGTTGCAAGAGCAATGAAGCAACACCCTGGACTGCTTTGCGAGCAGATTCTCTGCAAACGGAATGCAATACAGTTGAGCCCACATAAAACGGCCCCACTTAAAATGAACTTTCGTCTAAAGCGAACAATATCCGCGTGATTGTGAAAATATACATTGGTTCAATGGCACAAAATCGCACTTACAACGAACGTCTCTGAGCGCGGCTGATCGGTTACAGCGAACGAAGTCAGTGGTCTGCCGACTTCCCTGGAAACCAATTTTGACCACGGATCAGGCATCGGCGAGGTGCCTATACATTCTTATTGCTAAACGCCGACCATGCTTCCGTGACCCTCTAGTTGCCGCTTTCTCCAATCCATTGAGGAAGGAAAGCTGTTTCCTTTCTCTATGCCCCGACCACTTTTTGTCACGCACCCTTCCGTGCTTTGTCCCCCCGCTACTCTGAGCACTTCGCATCGCGAGACGAGGCCCGTGTTTTCACGCTGCCACCAATCTTTCGAGAACGGTCGGCCATCTACCCTGTTTTTGATCGCTGGTACTGTCGTTGGCGTCGCCGGCCTGGAGTGACCAGAACATTTGCCAACATCGTCGGCCACTGACTGTATCCGATAGTCTGCGTCTAGTGCACGCATGTATGCTACCCCACAGACTCTGATAATTTGCGATTCGTTTCGTGTTTAGGACTTGTTCCCGCTTTCTTCGCACTCTGCTCAGCATGCCTTTTGCGCGCGTGTGAAAGCGCGAAAATGGCTGTTAATTTGCGCGGAACGAATCGTGAAATATCGAAGTTCGTGAGGCCACGCAAACCCGCCGGCACAACAAAACGATTTTTTGACCACGGCTGCCAATTCTTTGAACACCGCCGCGCGCACCGATCTAGGCGGCCATGCTTTGACTTCTGCGTGCGCAGGCACTCTTTCCAAGTTTTTTTACGTGCGAGTTTCGCGGACCTTTCAAGCAAGCTACCCAACCTGCCTCCTTCCCGTGTGTTTTGGTTTTCAAGGTAGCCCTCTCGCCGCATCCTCTCCTCTCTTTAACGCAACTCCTTGCCCTTCTCTCTCAAGTCTGCTCTCCTCTCTTGATCACAACCCATTCGCCCGTCTCCATCGCTCCGCGACGCCCACCACGCTGGCTCGAATTAGTTTATTTTTCTGTCTGGAAACAGGCCCAGAGCTGTTCCACGCGTTCTGGCATGTGTGTAGCGTGTGTGCATCTTGCTCGCTCTTGGTGTGAGTGTGTGGTCATGATGGCCGACGAGAGGACTAGCACGCTTTTTTTTTCCTGCCGCTCAACAAAACGTCGAAAGTGTGATCGCTTGGCTTGAGCGTAATTTCTGCGTTAGGTGCCGCGTTGCGGAGCGCTTGCTCATAGCTGTTGACCACCTGGCAGCCAACTTGCCGCTTCGGGCGTCCCGGTATTGAGATGGTGAATATTTTGTGGGGGGCGGTGACGGCTACGTGCGCGCGAAACTGTTTTCGCGAGGCCGACTTCGTCGATGTCGAGCTCTATGCCAAGTCTGAAGCTTCCGAACTGCGGCGGTGATTTGTGGCAGCGCGTCAACTCCAACCTATGAGAGCGGGTGGGACATCTGTTGCGATGGTTTAATTACGGCCGATGATGATGCGGACACTGCGGAACCGTGCACGGATCGGGGCATTGTGAATGAAGTACATAGCGAGAGCGATTCAGAGGAATCGGATTGCGAGAACGACGAAACTTTGGAGCCAGTGCCTCATGCAGCTTATGCCACGGGCCTCAGCGAACGAGCACCCTGCCGTTTTAATTGAACTCGAGACCGCCTTTATCGCTTCTGCTCTTCGAAACACGTGCATCACGGATATTTTGGGGCAAACGAAGTTTGTGTTTTTTAAACACAAACATTTTTAAAAGCTGTGTTTCATTTACTACGAACTTCGGGATACAGCGAACGGGTGCGGCGTCACGCTCAGGTTCGTTATAAACGGGCTCGACTGTACTTCCCTGCGGCCAAACTACTTTGGACGCCGCCCCCTCACCCTTTCACGAGTGTGCCTTCTGCCTCGTTGAGCTCAACCACGGCCCCACCCCCTCCTTCCTTCTTGGCCGCTTCGCCTGTCAACCCGAAGAACGCAGTGATAGAGGTGCTCACCGCCGCAGCTCGTGCAGTGTTTGTGATTTTGCCGGCTGACTCATCGGTGCATAGATTATGTGCAGCGGCCCTAGTTTTCCATCGGTGACTTCTTCCCATAAGTCACTTGCGTCGCATTTTTCTCTCGTAGCATTCCTTTCGTGCTGCTTCGGGAGCTCACCTTGAACGTTCAACCACCAATTAAAAGGCTAGAAAAGAGCGGTGTAACAACAAGCGGGCAGGTAAAGCTGCCTAAAAGAAAATAAAGGCAACGGGGTGAAGCCTGATGTGAAAAACAAGTACCAGGCGATAACAATGGGGATAGGCTATCGTTTATTTGAATAGGGCAGGCACATCGAGAAATACATTGGCATTCTGATCATGATGATAGTGGCAGGTACAGAGTTGGGAAATATTTTCATTGCAGCAAGTAACTTTTTGAAATTGCTTTTCGTTATTTTGAGGTGTTGTGGAGACGTAAGGGGTATAAAATTCAATACACTATTCTGCTACATTTGGTGTTCTGCAATTCGCAGTAGTGAAATATTTTTACATTAACCAATAGACATTTAGAGAGGGATTTTCAAAAAAGTCGTTAATCTTAAAAAATCTTCATTCTAAGGTTTGCTATGAGATTTCACTGCACATGTTACACCCGAACACGTACCTTGATATGTTGATAGGCTGTACATAAATGTTCTTTGACATGACTTCTGTAGCATGCCTGCTAATTGAAATGTCGGAATGATGAGTGACACAGTTCTTCTTTTTGTGTTGGCGGAATCTTTTGAGCAGCCTGTATATTTTTGACAAGAGCTGTGCATGATGCTGATGCAACGAGTTGTCTTTGCTATGTGCAGGTGCTCTCGGCGCAACACAATGATTTGGGTCCCAGAGGCCCCGAGCTTCTCAAGGGAAGCCGACTGGCTGAGCTCATCAAGAGCTTTGAGCAAGTCTCAGTGAGCACGATGAATGGCCAGTCACCTCTCTCATCTCGTACAATGACTGGCCCTACATCACCATCCCCTGCCACGGCTGCAGCACTGACTGTCGCTGCCAGGTCACGACCTGCTGAGGCTGTCACAACAGTAACTGTGAATCACGTCACTGCAAACAACTCTCCTTCATGGATGACCATCGGTAGTACATCGCCTGTCACACCTGCACATGTTCAGGCCTCTGTAGACGAAGAGCTGTTGCCCAGGAGCTCGACCTTGATGTGGAATCCCGTAGGTGGTTTATATTTATAAGCATACTTGTCAACAGACTGATGACAATTAAGTCTTACATTACCATTTGAGATGCACTAACAAGGCAGGACTAAATATGCCAAATTTCCAGGAATTTCGAGCAACCAGAAAAAGACCTGATTTTTTATGCTATGTTTTTTTCAAATTTTTAGAAAAAAAAAAGAGAAGAATTTTTTTTAGCATACAGCAATAGTTTATTGCCAAATGTCAAAAGCAATGACGTTTTGCCCCCCGAAAATTTGGGCCAATTTTCCTAACTGCACCGAAAAAAAAAAAAAAACACACACACACACAATTGCTTTCTCTGAATTTCCCAGTATTTTTTTTTTTTCGTACTTTATTTCTAGGCAGAGCAAGAGGTTCAATTCTCAGCCATAGTGGCTATGTTTGTCACGAAGGCAGTATGCAAGTTCACGTGTGTACAATGATTTGTGTGCACGCAGGGGACCACCAGCCGGTCAAAAGTAAGCTTGTGCGAATTTTGAATTTCAGGTTGGTAGCGAATAGTGATTTTGGTCTAATAATTTTGAATCGTATTCAAATAGTATAATTGACATATAAGAAATTATAGGTGCATTTAATATGAACAAATGCACAATATTTTTTTTAAACTCAAATAAGGCATCCATGCAAATGCTTTTTTGTTTCTGTTTTTTTCGTTCAAAGGAAGTAAAAGCAACTTTCAGCATTAGCAGGATTTGACTTTCGGTATGTTGCGAGCGATAAGCTCTAAAGTACGAAATATTTTAAGATTCATTGTAGTTAGTCTATAAGCTGGCAAAACAAGATTTTAAGCTTAAAAAAGTGATTCATCGATATAAATCTTCATTTGAAGCGGCCCAGCAACACTTCTTCAAGTATCCATAGAATGGACTCACTAAAGAAGCTTATTACCTTGTAAATTAATTGTCAAAAGATTTTTTTGAATCCGTTCAGTATGACCGGAGTTGCACATATTTGCCGCACGTTGCAATTGCATTCTCTTTTTTCATCCCGTTGAAAGTGCTTGAAGCAATGCAGGGAGAGATCGCATGAAAAAAAAAAAAAAGGATATTTTTCTTGAGCTTCTGATCTTGAGCACTTTTTTTTTCTCTTTTTTTTTCTTTGAATATACGGTTTTTCCGTGCGATCACACGCATACGCGTGGACAAGTCACGGCCTCCCGTGGCGGCCCTAATAATGATGCATCAGTCAATGGCTGATACAATGGTTGTGACGAGTGATTTTTGAGCTTGTAGCATCGTTTGTTGTGAGAAGAGAGCAATATTTAGCTGACTTAGAGAGTGCCAAGTGTTGCAGGGTATCTTTAAGCTCGATGTGGGGCTTTGTGGCAAAGCGAATTTCTCCTGGACAGGTGCTCTCGCGTCTTAACATTTCTGCGGTGAAACCACCTTTAAAAGCAGTTACATGCAGACTAATTAAGATACACATATTTGGTCATTGTGAATACTTTGAAATTTTCGATAATTTAAATTTGAATAGAGGCAAATTGAATACTCAACTATACGTTTGGATATTCAAGTATTTAATGATTAGCACTATTCTAGTCAAAAGTAATCCAGTTAATTACAACTTCAGGTATATGCCATATTGTTGGGTATTGTGTGTTCAACTCGTGGCTGCGTCTGCGCAGAGCTGATAGACGAAGCGGACAAGGCAACGTTGAGTTAACGCAACTTTTATGTACAGTATAAAGAGAGGCGTGACGTATTCGGCACTGGAGCCAACATCTTAGAAAGAGCTCGCAGTGAGGTGCGACGATGAGCCAGGATTTTTTCAATCACTCTCCCTGTCCTTGCACCACTTGGCTCTTTTATAGGCCCTGGGATTTCCTTGCATCCGTCAGTAGTCCGAATGTATTACATTTAGCAGTTGAACCAGCTGTGTATGCAATGCTACATACATGTATGTTGCAAATGAGCAACATTTGTAACATACATTTGTAATACTTGTGTTCATGTGCTTCGAGTTGCCGATGAATACACCCTTGCGCTGTCAAATGCTAGGTTCCTGGTTAGTTCAATTGGCAGAGCGACCGGCCCGGAAAGGTGGTGGTCCCGTGTTCGAACCCCATACTAGGATGAATTTTTCGGCAACTAAGAGGCTTCATTTCTGAAAAATTCATATGAATTTCCTTATGGCTTCATGCTACAACTGGGTGGTTGCCTTCTTTCCCTTTCACATACATGTATGTTCAGAACAAGAGTTTGCAGTGTTGTTCATAGCATTATCGGGTTCACATGGGCAAATCTACTGCACTGACTTGCAATCATGCAAATACCTGGTTCACCTGAACACTCCTAATGCAATTAGATATTAAGATCTCAAGTGCCTAGATACCACCTAATTATCGTCCTCACAATGCCCTAAGGGTGTTATGCGACAAAGTTGCAAAGTAATAACACTATGCTCATGTTACTTTAAATGTGCAACTTTTTTCAAATAAAAAGTCATGAAGCTAATTTTATAGAAATAACTGGTAAGTTCATTCAATGGCCTTACTCGTTAAGAAGTGAAACACGTGGTGCTCATTTCCAGCTTCGATGCCGGTGGCAGTTTCTTTAGTTTTTCCCAAATCCTTTACATTACACTGAACATGAATTGTGTCCAAAGTTGCCAGGTGCCACTTAGCAAACAAGAAGACAGTCACCCCAAAACAAGCTCAAAAAAGCGGCGGCGATTCTCTGAATAAGTCTAAAATAAGCAGAAGTTAACCAAATCTTCGTATTTTTGAAAAATATATTGTAGTACGAATAAAAATACTGCGAATACATCTGGAACGTGTACACACATTTATTTTGCATAATGAGAATAGGTGCATGAATAAAGGCAAGAATTTTTCTAGCCTTACACACAGTCGTCACTGACATGTGGTAGATCAGTATAAACCATGGCATCCATGTCCTTGGAACCATGCATGTTCTTTACGTTGAATAGTTCCATAGCTTTTTCTGTTAGCTGGAAATCTCGGCAGCAAACTCCACAAAACCTTAGGCCATAGCAAACGTGAAGCGTGGTGCTCAGCATTGCAGTGTTCATCTTATTTCGGTGGCGTGATTTCACGAGGTTCATCTGCGAAAAAGCACGCTTGACATCAGCGTTGCTCAGGAGCATGGCCAACAACAACAAAGTGAATTCTGCCAGTTCCTTCAAGCAACTTTCACTGGCCGTTTCTGTGAAATTCAGAATTTCTATGGAAAAAGAAGTAGTGTTATTTATGGTTGCATTTTTCCAGAGAAGAAGGCAGACTTGTCTATATTGGGTGTCCAGAAGACCTATATCTCCCTTAAACAGTTTGGGGAGAGGCACATCTTGCAGCGGCAGTTTTGTTTGGCTCAGTATGCATTCAGGCGAGAACAATTTTGTGGAATTCCACAATTTGAATGTTATGAGGAAGCCTACGCTTCACTTGCTTTTCAGCTTCAAAAATAAAATCCCGGCATCTAAGCTAAACGTCTGTTTTTGCTCAGCGCTTGGTTTTGATGCTGCGATTTCGATGTTAAAAAGCACTCCGAAATCCACAGCAGAAAGTGGAAAGTGGGTTGCATTGTCCTTTAGGTTGACTTCCAGAAGTCTCTCTCTAGCAACTGGTATGTGCGAGGGGATGAGCACACTGGAAATAAGTGACCGAAACAAGTTTTCAAGGCAATCAAGCAGTTGCATTTGATTTCCGTTTTCAAGTTGGAACTGCTTGTTGACCCTTGAGAACTCCTGCAGCACTGGATTCAGAAACACCAGATACAACTTGTTGACAGGATCCCTGTACATTTCATACAGGATTTCAGCATCATAGCTACGGTACTTGTCCTTGCACATGGGGAGGTGAAGCTTCAGTTCATTCCATTACTCTAAGATCCGTTTACAGCAGCCGGAGATGGAGAGCCACCGCGTTCCCGACATCTGAACTAACTTTGATGCCTGTTTATCAGTTAGTACACCTTCCTGTACTCATGAAGTCGCTGGGAACTGTGTGAAAACCAACTGTAAGAGCAGCCAACAAGGAATTCTAGGCTCCGTGGAAGCAGTTGTACAGCTTTGCTGGCACATAGACTCAAACCTCGTTTGAGTGTATCAAAGCTACCTGTATTCCAATGGGCGAAAACGCCCCGTAATTCGAACGCGTGAGCACTTTAGACGCTTAATTCGAACATACCGGGCTCCGAAAATGCTCTCAGAACCATGCACAATCTCGCGGCAGAACCTCTCAACCCTGCGCGCAAAGAAGGAAAAGAAGGAAAGAAAAGATTTTGGCGGATTGTTTGCTCTCTCTCAAATGCCGATCTGCGACGCACCTGTGCCACGCTTCTTCCTTTTCCGTCTCTGCAAGTAGAGATACTTCTCCTTTCAAGGCCATGCGCGGAGAGAGGAAAAAAGTAAAAAAGAGAAGCTGTCGCAGATAGTTCTGCTTTCTCGGTGCCGAGGGTAGCAGCGGACACGCAGTCATTGCCATCGTGAGGGGGAAATCGTTTTGCACCGTGGCGCGGCTTCTTAGTCATGTGACCTGCTGAGCGCTTCCTCAATCCTCTGCGATGACTGTGTGAGGAGGACGGCTCTCTCGGCCGTGCATGGCGTGACTGTAAGGTCGGCGCAGTAGTTTTGAAAGAGCCGCGTCGAACGAGCATCAACTCCGCAGAAAATGATGTACTTTACACACTAGCGTCGTTTTTTTTATAGTTTATTTGATAGACTAATTTAGTTCATTATATCTATTTACCGTTCAATTTTACTTTGTTACTATGAAGTTTAAAATGCATAGTTCTCAATGCAGCTTTCAAGGAGAATTTCGTTTACTTTGTTATATCCATTATTTTAGTTATATCCTGTTACGTTATAACGATGTTTGAGTGTAGTTAAACGGAATAACACACGCATTTTACCAGCATGAGGTTCTCGTTCTTCCAGCGCTAGTGTGTGTTCACAGAATGGTTCTTCCCAACCATAACGTTGTGACCGTCAGTTCCAAATCCAACACACCTGCT